TGTCATTCATCACTTTTGAAGATTCTGTGGATTTTAGGAGCTCCATGTCAAGAAATGGAATGAAGACCAAGTGTATATTTCATGATATCACATTTTAAAAAAGAAAGTGAAGAGTCATTTGCTTCTACATCTAGAGATAACCATTGACAGCCCTTTGGTGTGTATCCATAAAAATCATTTTATATGTCCATTTATCTATGTGCATATGTATATGTATTTTATCTTAAATTTTTTATTCTAAAATGTACATACTGTATAATTTTAATCATTTTTGAGTGTATAATTCAGTGACATTTTAAGTGTATACATTCACATTGTTAAGGAACCATCATCACTATCCATCTCCATTGTAAATGATAACATAAAACAATAACTTGACTTTAAAGAAAATAAGATAACTTACTCTGAACCAAGTATGAGTGGCACAGAAACATGGATTCAAGTTGCCTGAATGACTTGTTCTGCTGTGGAAGAGATTACCTGAACTTATAGCCAAAGAACAAAAGTCATGAATCAATATTTTTAAGAAATATGTTGGTGAGGCCAGTAGGTAGGTGAGCTGTAGCAGAAAGGGAAAGTTTTTCCTATAGGTATTGACAGTTGCAGCCTTCTTAGCTTTAGGGTTGGTGGAGACTAGAGGTCTGTTAAGCCGTTAATACATTTTAAGAGGTTTACCTAGGAGAATGTTAGGTGAGATACAAAAGTTTAAGTAAATGACTCTTTTTCTAAGGCCATAATGTAGCCCAAGCTAATTTTGACTCTCAACCTGCAACTTGCCATCTCTCCATAATCAGGATGTTCTCAGCTGAGGTCAGTCTGCTTGATCTTTAATATAGATGGCACTGGGGAATAAAACTGACTGATTTATGTTATATGCATGTACAACTATGTCACAATAAATTTGATTATTATGTATAATTATAATGCACCAATAAAAATTAATTCAAAATATATATGTGGCTTCTTCAAAGAAATTCAGCTTCTTATATAGATTATCTCATTTATGTATTTCCTAACCCTATGAGGTAGGCGTTGAGAAGCAGATGTACAGATTGACTAGGAATGGAGTCTAGGACAACCACTGGGTTTGGAATTCCATTTCTATCACTGACCAGCTGTGTGACTTTTTAAGGACAGATTTCTTATCCTTTTCGTACTTTTTTTTTTTTTTTTTTTTATTTTTTGGTAGAATGGGGACAATGATATTACCTTCTTAAGTTGTGGTGAAGATTAAATAGATTATACATAAAAGATTAACATAAAGCTTTAAGAGCAGTACTTTGCCCATAGAAAGCATTCAATAACTGACAGCTATTTTAATTTTTGTAATTACTATCTTCAATTCAAATAAGCAGACATTGCCTGTCTTAAGTTATTTAACCTAGTCTTCATCAATGAATATTTAGGTTTTTTCCATTTTTTGCTACTGCAAACACCATGATAAGTTTTCTTGTATGTGCAATTTTGTGTACTGTTCATTATAGTACAAATACAATCATTGGTAAGTTAAGAATATAAACATTCCCGGGCTTTGTAATACGTATTATCAAATCTGTCAGATCATTCTAATTAACACTCCCACTAATGGCCTTAATCCCTTTACACATCTTTTGTAGTGGTTAACACAAGGCCAGTGTGTTAGTCAGCTTTCCATTGATATTACAAAATACCAAGGTAATAAGCTTGTAAGGAGGAAATGTTTATTTAGGCTCATGGTTTCAGAGGTTCAGCCCATGGTTACTTAAGCCTGTCATTTTGGGCCTGTGGTAGAACATTACTTCATGACCAGAAGTGCATAGCATAGGAAGCTGCTCACATCATGACTGTTGGAACATGGAGAGAGAGAAATAAGAAGGGGCCAAGGTCCCAAATCCCCTACAAGAGCTCACCCTATTGGCCTAACTTCCTTTCACTAGGCCACAACTCTTAAAGTTTCCACCACCTCCCAAAAGCATCTTGGGCTGGGAACCAAGCCTTTAACACCTGGGCCTTTGGGGGTCGCTCAAGATCCCAAGATATAGCAGCTACATTCATAATTCTTTCTGTTGGGTGTGTTTTTCTCACTGGATGAATATTCATTAAATAAAAGACCTGGCACCTCGAGAACCTTTAATAGTATAAACAGGATTTCATGGTAGCCTGTCCTTCTCCATTTTCTCCATCTATATGCTGTGTGAGGGCTGGTCCTGGGAGAGCTGGAATGGCTTGTTCTTACAGGTATCAGTGACTTTCGAGGATGTGGCTGTGCTCTTTACTCGGGATGAGTGGAAAAAGCTGGATCCTTCCCAGAGAAGCTTGTACCGGGAGGTGATGCTGGAGAACTATAGTAACCTGGCCTCACTGGGTAAGGAAATCCCCTCTGGACACAGTTCAGAAATTAGATTTCAGCACCTACTTCCCTGAATAAAAGCTGTTGGTCATCAAAAAAGTTTAGCTGAGGTTTGCCTTATGATTATACAAATCATATCTTTGTAAATAAATATTGAGAACATGTTCCTCTTACAGGTATAGAATTGCCCTGTGTTTAGGAATGGCGGAGGTGGTCTTGGTAACCATCACCTTCCTTCTATGTAATTACACATTAGAAGTTTCTTCATAGTTCAGGTATCATTTTCCCACTGTGATTGTTCTGTGGTGTGTGCAACTCTTGGCAGAAGGCTTCATCCAACCTCTGGACCTTCCACTTGCCTTTCCCATTTGTTTTTTCTAGGGGTCAGCAAACTTTATAAAAGACCAGGTAGTATAGGCTTTGTGGGCCACATGTAATCTCTGTAACAGATTGATCTTCGTTTTGTGTTTTTCTGAGTTTTTTTTTTTTAATTTTAATTATTTTCTATTAGGAGGACTCCCATTTATCAAACCAAAGGTGATCTCCCTGTTGCAGGAGGGAGAAGATCCCTGGAAGGTAGAGAAAGAAAACCCTGGAGGCACCTCTCTTGGTGAGTGGGTGGCACAAAATATTACCATATGTTACTATTTATGTTTAAAGAATATTACGTGTTTGTGAAATATGCAAATAAGCACAGAGAGGAATTGCTTCAGGTATCAGTCTGGTTCAGAGGAAGGTGCAGCTTGTAGTGTGTTAATTGGGAAACTTCCTTTAGGGTTCTCAGGCCTCAAGAAGTTGATGGGGAAGGGAAAGCCCAGGCCCCTAGACATGAGCTTCTGCTTCTTTGCTCATAATCACTTCACAAAATGAATCTCTCTAGAGCTCTTTTTATTCTTTCCTGTTATTTCTGAAAAGGGCTGCATTTTATGTATTCATTCAACAAACAGTGTAATTTAAGGGATTATAAATAATTCATTCTAGCTGAAGCTGCAGGTATGAAAGAGACAAGGAAGACAATGAGATGGGAGGCTGTCTAAGGGCCACACTGCAAGTGCTTTGGTACGGTTCTAAGAGATTTGAACTGTTCCATGGATGACCAGAAATATTTGAAGAATTTAAGCAGAAGAACTTTTTTACCCCTGATATTTTAGAAAAATTGGTCTGAATCAGAAACAAATGTTCCTTAATAAAGGAATGGCTAAAGAAACAATGATGTGTCCTTACTCTGGCAAAGGTTGCCACAGTTTAGAAAGAAAGAACACCCTAATGTAGATGGAGCTGCAAGGCACATCAAGGAATAAAGCAAGTTACAAAATATCATCATATGTTACTATTTATATTTAAAGAATATTAGGTGTTTGTGAAATATGCAAATAAGCACTGAGAGGAAGGTTTGGAAAACACACAGAGTTACAAGGACACACCTTAACTGGTAACAGCAATTACTCTTGGAATGAATCTAATAAAAGGGGACTTTGTTTCTATGTAATGTTTTAATTTTCACAAAGAGAATATGTTCACGAAGTTCTCTTAATTAGAAGTTAATAAGAATGGTCTCTTAGGAGGCATTATTGAAGTGAGGCAAAACTAGAGTTGGAAGCCTCACAGAATTCATGGGAATTCAGGCAGGAAGCCAGTGGGCCTGGACTAGAGGCACCTGCTGTGAGGATCAGGGGACAGAGGAAGAGCCAGCTTGATAAGGGAGTCTGAGGAATTCAGTGTGGAATGGTTTTCATTTGAGATGTGAGTAACATACATGGGTAGAGGTTACAGATGGGCAGTTGTGTAAGGGAGACAGACTGGTTGGCACTCCAAGTAGAGGTCAAGGAACCCTCAGTTCAAAGGGGTAATTGCCACCTTGAGTTGACCAAGTAAAGGAACAGAGCAGAAAACAGAATCCTAGGAAACCAACATTTGAGAGATGGTTAAGAGAGAAAGGACTTTGTGAACAAACCTGAGGTTAAATTATCAGAAGAAAGAAACAGAAGAGGTGATTGTCATCCAAGAAAGGCTGGGGATCTGAGTTTGTGGAGGCATAGGAAGTGGTGTCAGGGAAGGTCTGGAGAAAGGTCAGTGTCAAGCAAGAAGAGTAGAAGAAACTGCAGAAGACAGCAGTGGAAACAGATCCTGCTGAGCCC